CGATCTTCGGGTGAGAGCGGTACTACACGCCCCCGATGCAGGTAAAACAAAGTAAGGTAACATGGTTTACTTTTTTTACCAATTTTAACCTAATTTTTTAAAACTTTAATACTTCCGACGATAGCCGTTTTGAAAAGAAGACCGATTATGGATTTAGGCAGTGTTTTTTTTTCACGATTCTACATTAAGATTTCAGCGAGATATAAACTGAAATAGACGCGAAAAGTACGCTGCGTCGCCAACGATGCACTCGACCCCAGGCCGCTTTGCCTTCACTCTGGTCAAACTCCTTCAAACCATTTCTGTTGTGTTTAGGTCAGGGGGACAGGTCATGTGATGCAACACTCTCACTCCTTAGTAAGCAGCCGGGCGTGTCCAGACTTTTGACTGATGCTGTATATGGATTTGTCTCTGTGTCTCAAAGGAGAGTAAGATGGGATATGTGAGGGGGAAACGATAAGCGTTCAGATGTCCCTATACTAGTATTTGTGGCAATGGAAAATACAGTGGTGTTTTCACATTTCAGTGGTGAAGCAACGCATGCAGATGTACAACTCGCCGTACCGGGGCCTGTTGGACTGCGTGCGCACGGTGAGGCGTGCTGAGGGCATGGCCGCCTTCTACCGCAGCTACAGCACACAGCTGGCCATGAACGTGCCCTTCCAGGCCGTGCACTTCGTCACCTACGAGTTCATGCAGGAGCGGCTGAACCCGCAGCGGAGCTACCAGCCGACCAGCCACATCGTGTCGGGGGCGGCGGCGGGCGCCGTTTCGGCCGCCGTTACCACGCCGCTGGATGTCTGCAAGACGCTGCTGAACACGCAGGAGGACACTGTGCTGAGTTCCATGAGCATGCGCGGGCACCTGTCGGGCATGGCCAACGCCTTCAGGACCGTGTACCGCCTAGGCGGTCTGCCCGCCTTCTTCAAGGGCGTGCAGGCCCGCGTCATCTATCAGATGCCCTCCACGGCCATCGCCTGGTCCGTCTACGAGTTCTTCAAGTACTTCCTGACCCAGCAGTAGCCGGGCCAAGCTCTTGGGGTAGGGAGGGTGTTGTCCCCGCCCAGAAATGTGGCTGGCCCAGTCGGAGAACGCCTCGCTGTCACAAAACACAGAATGCGCTGAGCATAACTGGCAAAAGATCCAGAAAGAAACACTGAGCAGAAGAGATGCATGTCTGAGGGCCGCCGGCCCCTCCCTCTGAACACTGATCCCTGGGGAGGCTTCATGAAGGCGTTTCAGCAAGAGGCCGCAGGATTTCTCCTATTTTATTTACTTTCCACGAGTTGCAGTCCAAAACCTCTGCAAGGTCTGTCAACCCTGGGGTTTTTTACTTTTAGAAATATTTTAATGGTGCATTCGTAAATAACTTTGGCACATTCCCAGAACAGTGAACTTGGGTCGGCCCCGTTTTCACAAGTGCCTGTCACCTGCAGTCTGCAGCCTCTGTCACTTTGTCCGTGACCATTTTCAGGAGTGGCTTCATGGACATCTGTGAAAGGGACGGGTGTAGTTTGTACAGCCCCCCACCCCCGCAGGGTTTTCCATGCTTCAAACATTCTGCTACGTGTGGTGGGGGATTTCTCTATTTGTTAGACTGAATTCAGCTATAACCCACCTGGTTGTGTTCAGTCAATGCAAAGATGTGTGTGTGTGTGTGTGTGTGTGTGTGTGTGTGTGTGTGGGAGGCAGTTGCTGTGATGTTCACTTTTATTATTATTGAGCTAAGAGTTTTCAAGACAATGATGCCACAGGGTAGATTAAAGAGGCTGATTGACTGTTTTTAAATGCTGCATGAGCTGTGTTAGGACACAGACCAGAGCTCCCGAGTCCTTCATATGCTCAAGGGGTAATTATTTTTGGTTACCTAACTGCAGCCCATGTATTTCCCAGATTAAAGGGGGGAGGTTCTGTTTAACTTGGTATTTTTTATTTTTTTTTTCCCTTGTTGCGTGCAACACTGTGATGAGGAACCTGGGGATGAATGTCCAGAAGAGCGTCACTTTTTTAAAAAAAATATGAAGTGAACTGATACTATGGAATTTTGGAAGCTTTACACAACACTCACCCTATTTTGCTAAGTCCCAAAATCACACACAATTATGGGAAGTTGGGGTCAGTCCAAGTGTGTCTGCGTTTAGTTGATAATGCAACGCTGATGCTTCACACTCACGCCAAAGTTTTAGGGGTCCAGGGCCCAGCTCCGCCCAATCCACTAGAAGGATGTTTGATCTTCTGAAGTCCGCATCTTTGGATCCAAGTCACTGGATTCTATGTTTACTAGAGTGGTGAATAACTTGGTGTTAAATTATACAGGTTGTAAAAAA